AACAACAACAACAACAAAAATCCACTTGAGCAAAGATACCTACTAAAAGCTAAGGGCAAGAATCTCTCAGTTGCTGTCTCTCCCTCCCCCTGCCTCATCTTGAGTATGTTAAACCCAGGGCCATTGCGCTGAGCTTCCTCCCCAGCCCTTTTATTTAATTTATTTTGAGACAGAGTTTTGCTAAATTACTAAATTGGGCTTGAGCTTGGACTCTTCCCGTTTTAGCTTCCCAGAGTGTGGAGATTACAGACATGTGCTACCACACCTGGCTTTTTTCTTTCTCTTTTGATACCCACGACTGACTCCTTGATCCTTGGTTGGAGTGATGGCCGCGGGAGGGAGTGTCGTGGTATGATGCACCATGCCGTGTTCTGTACTGTTGAATGAGCAAGAATTTTGTCATCTTCACATACTGGCATATTTTTCTCTTGCTTGTCAAATTCTATAACTTTCTTCCATTTATTGTATTGCTTCACTGGCCAGGTCTAAGATCTTCCGTGTACTATTTAATAGAAGCAGTGATAGCAGATAGGCTTGTTCCCAGTTTTAAATAAATTGCATCTGTGGAAATAAACATATGATCTTTATCTTTTTTTTTTTTTTGGTACCAGGGATTGAACTCGGGTCCTTGCGCTTATAAGGTTGACCACCGAACCACTGAGCTAAATCCCCAGCCCTGATCTTTAACTTAATATGTTTCTCATATTAAAAATCTTTTTATTCCTGGTTTAAACTGCTTGACTTTGATATACTTTTAAAATACTTTTTCTAATACTTTCTGTTCTTCTTATCCTAATGTATTTAGACTTGCTGCTATTGAGTGTAGGCTTAATATTTTGGTTACCCTTATAGAGTGAGTTGGGTTTGCCTCCTGTTTTCTGTTCTCTAGAACATGTGTAGATCGAGGATTGAAGGTCTGAGAGAACTCTGTTAAAGTGTCTAGACTATTGAGTCTTTTGATGGATGGATATAAAACTACTATTTTCAACCCTTTATGCTACAATGTTACATGATTTACAATTTTTTCCCTTTCTGGACTAAGTTTGGGTAGGTTATCCTTTTCTAGGAAATTATCAACTTTAAGAAAATACCCATATCGCCTACTTTTGAGTAGGTACACACATGTTCTTTTATGGCTTGAAAAAAATCTGCCAGGTCTATATTGATAGCCTCTTTCTACTCCTGATATTGTTTGTCTGTGACTTCCTTCTTTTCTTCTGCTGTCTTATCAAAAGTACATCTAGTTATTCTTTTCGGGGAACTAACTTTTGGAGTTTATTGTGTGGCAGGCACAATTCTAAGCAGTAGACTCACTGAAACGAATACATTCCTTGCGTTGCTTGAAAGCATATTCTAATGAGGGGAGAGAATCAATACGTACTTAGTATAACAAAAGAGTAAATTCCATAGTAGATTTGAGACTGGTGATCACTCTACAAGTAAATAGAGGCAACAAGATGGAGAGAACTGGGGTGAGGTGCAGGAGCAGGTCACAATTTAAAGAGGGTGGTAAGAGGGCAGAAAAGGGCACTCTAAGAGCAGATTCCAGGGAGGGGAGGAGATTATCATGTACTTACCTAGGGGAAATGTTCCAGGCAGAAGGAACAACCAGGGAAGAGGCCAGGATCTGGCAGGAGTAAGAGAGATGGGGACACCTGTCTGGAGCAGAATAAGCAAAGCAGGATAAAGCAGAGGACTTCTGTAGTCCATTGTGAGCTGCCCCCAACACACACTGAGCTACATCCCCAGCCCATTTTTAAAAAATTAATATTGGTACATGTAAGGTATACAATGGAATGACATTCATCATTGGAAATTTGCACCTTTACATAATCCATCTTGGTTCTTATTTTTTCCCCATTCCCCAGCCCATTTTTTAATTTTTTAATTTTGAGACAGGTCTTGCTAAATTGCTAGGTTGGCCTTCAGCTTGCAATCCTCCTGCTTCAGCATGTTGAATAGCTGGGATTACAGGTGTGTGGCATGGCACACAATTTGTGTTATTCTTTTCTGAGTTAAAAGATGAATCTACCTATCTAATTATTTTTCTTTTTTTTTCTGATATTTGCGTGAAAGGCAGGGATTTAGCTTAGTAGTTCTGCTGCCTGCCTCGCAAGTGCAATGTGGGCCTGAGTTCGATCCCTGGTACAAAAAAACCCCAAAAAGAATAAAGTTATACATTTCCCTATTAGAAGATGAATGTTTTTTCTGTTAGATTTTTTGTTGTTGTTGTTTTGGACAGTGGCAGCTTCTGACATCAAGTGGTCCCAGAACTTACCAAATAGATTCGAGGGAAAAACAAAAGGTGTGTGTAGAGCACGGGAAGAAAATATTTGATTAATTAAAGTGGTGCTGTCACCTTAAAGTCCCTAGTTAGAGGTTGGTTGGCAACTTCTGTTTGGTAAAGCTGAAGTTTCCATTCTCTGTGAGAGGGTTTTTGGTTTGCTTAGGTAGGAACCCAAGCACTGGAGCCATCTCTGTCTAATCATTTTACTTCCCACTAGACTTCCAAAGTCACTTTAATATCCTAAGTGCTCTTGGGCACTTTGCACAAATTGTGATATGTATTGTTTTAATTGTCATTTAGTTTTTAATGTTCTCGACATTGTGATCATTCTTTAACCCACATATTGCTTAAAGGAATGTCTTTACATTTCCAGATATATTTATAAGTAAACTCTGCTATGGGTTTCTCATTTTATTTAGATAATATCGTTGAAATAATATTGATTCTTTGATGTCTGTTGGACCCTGCTGGATTAGTCAAAATACCTGTGGCAACTAAAAATGTTTAAAAGAGGGGGTATTTAGCTTACAGATTTGGAGGTTCCAATCTAAAATCAGGAGGCCCCACTGGCCTCTCATTTGGGCAGCACATCACGGCAGGAGAGTGTAGGAGCAAAGATCACCTCTCAAGCCAGGAGTAGAGAGAGGAAGCATATGGGGCCCCAGTCCTCTTGAAGGTTATTCCCCCACTAATCTAAGAATATTGTGCTGGGCTCCACTCTTAGATCTACACTGTGCCTCCCAATACTACCACTTTGGGGACCAAGACTTACACAAGAACCTCTAGGGGACACTGAAATTATGCCCAGACCATAGCACTTGCTTTGTGACATATGGCACTTATTTTAAAAGATTCTTAACTCGGTTTGAGAGGCAGTTTCTATGTAACCAATAGAGCAGATCTTCTCATTCATGTGGTTCCCATCTCATGCTCAAGCAGAGACTTTTTCATCCTTTCTTTAAAAGGTAGAGGTGGGAGAGGGTAGATGAAACACGAAGCAGTACAGCAAGGCGTCTTTCTCTCTTACACTAGGGAGCTCAAGTTGTAAGCTGAGAAGCTCAAGGAGTCTGTGGTTGGGGTGGGCTTGATCCCACGAGCCTGAGGTCTGGGATTCGGAAGCAGTGGTGGCAGTGATGTTCAGAAGGCCCTTATGGCGTGAGTTATTCCCTATGGACTGGGTCCCGAAAATCCACTCATAGCACCGCATCCCAGGGTAACAGGGCCCACACCCATGTGGTGTATATGTCCCCAGTTAGCTCTGCTAGCAGACTACCACTGCAGAACCTAAAACTGTTGTCTTCCTCAGTGAAGGGGCCTGCACAGAAAAAAATCTGCAACCTGGATTCTCCTGTGAATCACTAGTCCTGTGAATCACTTTATTGCATGACGGTGATGCCAGGGAGCTGCCAGCAGTGCTGCAATTAGGCTGTGTATTTGCTGCCTCTGCCAGTATCTCCCTGTAGAAAGTACTGGGAGTCAGAGACCCCACACCCCTTTATCACAAAAGTAGACGTAGGGGTAGACTGCTGGGTATTGAATTAGGCCAGATTTTCAGCTTCTGGGGAAGGAAGTTTTGTGTTTGCTATTTTTTTATGTTTATTACTTCAAAAGCCCTTCAGTAACCAAAAGTTATCCAATTAAAGGGTGTACTGTATGTATGTCATAAGGTGCTGTAGGGCAGGGGTAGCTTGTTAAGGCTCTTTTCTATGAAGGGGCAGGCAGCCAATGGTGAGGCACTGGAGGTCCCTAACCCTAATATGGTCCTTGCCTCCTGGTAAGGACAAGAAAGGATTAGGTCGGAGAGGGGGTTTGAAACCCTTTGGATGGGCTCTTCAGACCGGGGTGACCGATTGCTTGGTTGTCCACAGTTCTTTCTGAAGAATCATTTTTGCTTTTCTAGGGCTGCCATTACAAAGTGCCATGCCCTAGGTGGCTTAAACAACAATTTGGCATGTCACCATTCTTTGGGTTGGAAGTCTGAGACAACACTCCCAGCCAAACTGGCTCCTTCTGAAGGCCATGGGGGAAAGACCTGTTCCAGGCTTCGTGGTAGCTTACAGATAGCTGCCTTCTTCCTGTGCCTCTTCACATTGTCTTTCCCCTACCTCTGTCCAAATTTTCTCTTTTTATAAGTATGATGGCCATATTGGATTAGGGCCACTCTCCTGGCCTCATTTTAATTTAATTACCCTTTAAAGCTCTCTCTCCAACTTTGGCCATATTAGTGGTCAGCACTTTCACATATGAATTCCATTCAGCCCCAGACAACAGCTATGTCACCATGGTCTTTAGCCTCCTCTGTTGAGCAATATCCACGTCACCCTCTGGTATTTTATCCTTAGGCATAAAACATTCACATATTTTTGTTATAGAACCTTTAAAAATGAGTGCGTGATGATTATACTAGTTCAGTGGTGGCGAACCTATGGCACAGGGGTTGCTTTTCTTTTAAGATATAAGATGTTAATGTAGGAGTTGTTCTTTTCTAAACTAAAACCTCAGTTTCCAGTGCACATTGGCACTTTACAATGAAAGTGGGTTTGGGGTTGCGGTCTGGGCATTTGTCTCTAAAAATTCACCATCACTGCACTAGCTGATTTCTAATAAAGCCTATGCCTGTGAGCCCCCTTTCTTCTCTCCTAAGAATATCTTTCTTCCTTCTAAAAACAGATGCCCTCATTCTAGATGATTTTGTTTTGTTGTCTCCCTCTAGGAAATGCACCTGCCACCCCACAGCCAAAATGCACTGACTTCCAGAATGCCAACCTCCTCAGAGGCACCAACCTCAAAGTCCAGTTTCTCCTCTTTGTCCCTTCAGATCCTGGGTGTGGGCAGCTACTGGAAGAAAGCAGTGACATCCAAAAGTCTGGATTCAATGCCACTCTAGGAACCAAACTAATTATTCATGGATTCAGGTGGGAACTAACCAACCAATAGGATCTCTTCTGCTAAGAACCATGCAGGGCCCATAAAGCCACAAGAAGTTAGTGGGGAGCAAAAGGGGGAACAGACTGTCACACATCCCACCCCTCATGGCCTGCTGTCTTTGAAGGTGTCTTGTACAATCCTGCACACTCGTTATGCTGTTTATTCGTGTGTGTGTGTGTGTGTGTGTATAGTGTGAGACTTTATTACAGATTTTTTAAAATTACATTTTTTTTGGTACAGGGGATTGAACTCAGGTACTTGCGCTTGCGAGGCAGGTGGAGGAACCACTGAGCCAAATCCCCGGCCCTAAAATTACATATTTGATACTGTCTTTCACTTCAAAGAATCAGACATGGGGCTCAAAATCTGACTATTCAAACGTGTTTTGGAAAATCCACACAGTTTCAAAAGTGAAACTATTATTGGCATTTACTTGATATAATACATTCGTTTTAAAATGTAATTCTACTTTTAACATATTAGCTCTTATTTTACTTGTTAAAAATGTAAATTCTTAACTGTGCAGTTATAAATACATATACATAGTTTTATCTAATAATTAGCTTGTCTTTCTCAAGGACACAAGCAAACTGCTGTCCATTCTTGTCCGTCATACATGTCACTCCTCCGCTCAGTCTTGTCCACACGCTCACAGACAGTACACATGTGACCTGGATAAATCACTCTAAACACAGATCTTCAGTTCCACTTCTGAGTCAAAGAGGACAGCGTAGGGATAGTCTAGTAGTCCCTCGATAAAAACACTGTGTGGGTAGGGTGAAATCTCAATTCGATTGGCTTTGGGATCCACTGTGGAGATCGAGAGTACACTTCTCAGTGTGAACCATAGAGGTGTGGCCTCGGGGTCTATGTCTGGATCCTGGTCCCTTCCTTTCTGTCACTGTTTCCCTCTTCTGCTTCCTCAAACCACGAAATGAGTAGCTTTGCTCCTCCGTGTCCATCTATCATGATGTTTCTGCCTTGTAACCAGCCAAATTTAGACTGAAATTATGCACAAATAATTAAACCTCCCCTCCTTTCAGGTGTAGGTGTTGGGTGTTGCATCCAGAAATGAGAAAAAGCTAATACAAACACCGCACTGTTAGCCAGGGTGTATGGGTTGCATGATGTAACTCATTTCAGACCAGATCACAGGCTTTTTGCTGTTGCTTAGAAGTATCAGCCTGGTGTTTTCATCCAGGGTTTTCACTTTTTCCCTGGTTTCCTGACCTGATACACTTCTGTTTAGGCTGCTGTTTCCATCATACTCAAAGCCTGACATTTCTCAGGAGCTAGGCACTCCTCTTCTGCAATTCTGACACCCTACAACACAAACTTTGTCATAATAAAGTCACTCAGTTTCATCAATCACCATCTTTCCTTCATCTACCTACCCTCCAAAGCCCACAAACAAGACCAAAAACAGAGAAATGTTTCTGGGAGGAAGGAGGACATGGCTTTGTAGAATACGAGCACCGTACAGCAGTTAAGAGTTAAAGAGGTGGCCGCAAGCACTGCCCAGAGGTTCACCACTTTCCGATCCTTGGCCTTTCTCTGTCTCTTTGACTCTTGCACTGAACCAAGCGCTTGCTCATTCTCTAGCAAATCTTGCATTCAACTACAACACAAGGCTGAGTGTGTACCTCCAACCAGGGTTAGTGAGTGGAGAGTTGTCAGACTGGTTACTCGATCTGCTCTTAAATCTCCCAAACCACATCCACGGTGCACATCCAGTCTGTACTTCTCTGACCGTGGGAGCAAGCTCACATTGTTCCGACTGTGGGAGTTAGAGATACTTCTTTTCTGGCCTTAATCTGTTGGGAAAGCCTCCTGAACACATTTCCATCATTCTTTTTCTAGAAAAATTTCATTATACTGTAAGTTGTGGAAGAACAGGCACTATGTTTTACTTGCCTTTGTTTCTTGGAAAACACTCAGCTTACTGTGTGACCCTTAGGTACTCAGTAAGTATTTGTTTAGTGAATGGATGGGTACAAAAATGAATCCTTAAGGAAAGAGCCTATGTTCTAGAATGGGATTTAAGATCACAACTCCTAACTCTTAGGTACAAAGCTATTTTCGTTTCCACAAATAACACACATAGAGGCAGGAGAGGACATATAGTTTATGTAATGTATGCACTGCACAAAGGTGGCCAATGCAGGTAGATAGGGCTAAGACTCCAGCCAGACTCCTGGATGCTGGCATGAGGCTGCACCTACTAGGAACAAAAGGCTTGGCAACCTTGGACTTCTGTCCATCCTGTGTTCACAGCACTGTGAGATTGACTCCCTGTATACCCCTCTTTGGTATGGACTTCTCCTCTGGATTTGGGATTAATAGAGATTTCCTTGGCAATGTACATCAGCTTGGCAGCTAATTTTCCTCTTCATTTTTGGCCCCATGTCTAGGGCTTTAGGGACCAAGCCTTCCTGGATTGATGCATTCATTAGAGCCCTTCTGCGAGCAGCGGATGCTAATGTCATTGCTGTGGATTGGGTTTACGGATCAACGGCTGTCTACTACTCAGCTGTGGATAATGTGGTTAAGCTGAGCCTAGAGATCTCCCGTTTCCTCAAGAAACTCCTGGTAGGTACAGAAGAGGTTGAGCTGATCTCTGGCCACTTAGGGAAGAATGAAGGTTAGGAAGAAAAAGCACACCCTAAGAAGGTGGGAGACTGAAGCAAAGACCTCCAGGGGCTTATTGGTCTTTGGCTCAAGCCCTGAGCTGGCTATTTGGAGCACTGACCCCGACAGGGTATTGAAAGTCACTGAAGCTTCACTCCTCTTCTGTAAGATGCACATTGCATCATGAGTGGCACTTATTAAGGTGCCTGGCATTTAGTAGACTCTCAAAAGTGACCAGGCCTGGTCATTACTCACAGACGTTGAAGTAAGGGTGCTGTTAGCATGGGGAGCCCGGGGGAGGACAGATGATTAATGGATAAGAGAGGCCTCTTATCTTATTTTAGCCCTTTGTTCCAAGTCCGACTGGTGGGTATATGGTGCCCAGGGCTCTCAGCTTCTGAAGCCCCAGGGAAAAAGCCACTGTGGCCCAAACGAAAGTCACTGTCCATGCTCTTCCAGGATCTGGGTGTGTCAGAGTCCTCAGTCCACATCATTGGCGTTAGCCTAGGAGCCCACGTTGGAGGCATGGTGGGACATTTCTACAAAGGCCAGCTGGGACGGATCACAGGTAACCTTCCTCCCTGCCCTCTTTTCCAGCATCTAGAAGTAGAGAGTGATTGCCCTGGTAATTCCTCTTTTGATATGAGTAGGGGGTGTGTTGAGTGTTTGTTGTTATTACTGACTCATCTGCTGCCAATGCAGTTTATTTATTGTGGTCCTTTTTGCTTAAAATGGTATGATGTTGTCATTGCATGATCTGTAATATCAGTACCACATATTTCTTTCTGAGTCTCAGTGTCTACATCTGTAAAATGGGTTGTAATAGCCCGTATCTCCTTGACCCACTGTGGAAATCACCGTCACATAGTTCTGGGGACTTTATGCCTCAGGAACCCCTTTCAACCAATAAAGGACAAGGGTTATATGGTAAATATCCCAGCTTCCCAGCCCTTCTGTGGGGGGGCAATTCTGAGTTCTGTTCTACAGAGTCCCTCAGAAACACCCCTGTGGGATGATACCCAGTTGTCCCTGAAGGTAAATATTATATTCAGCCTTTGCCAAGTGGTTGGTATTATCAAACTCATTTAGAGCCAGAAAAAACAGGTCCCTGGGAGGCCATCTCAAGAGAGCCGAGTTTCTTTGGTAAGGCGAGTCAGTTCTCCCAGTGTGTGGTCCTTATTGGACAGCTCTGTGCAACTGAACTAGGGGCCTGGGGTAGGGCTGTGGTGGATCCACAGTGGTTCCTGCAGCAATGAATGATACCAGTCTGTCCTTGCAGGCCTGGACCCTGCAGGACCAGAGTATACCAGGGCCAGTCTGGAGGAGCGCCTGGATGCTGGAGATGCCCTCTTTGTGGAAGCCATTCACACAGACACTGACAGTGAGCTGGGGCTGGGGAGAGCCCTGGGCAGGGACTACAAGTTGCCATCTGGCTCTGAGGCCCTGTCCCTCCTAGGACCTCTGTTGTATAGGGAGGAGTGTACCAGGATGATCTCGAAAATCTCTTCCAGCTGTCATCCTGTGGCCACTGAGCTGAATGATTTTTGTTTCAGCTGCCAATCGGCAGGAGGAATCTCATTCCTGGACCGAAAGTGTTTGTTTGGGCACCTCACTCTCTGATTCAACACCAAACTTTGTGCTGAGGTGGGGCTGGGGTGGGGGACACTGCTGCCTGGATGACTTACAGGAAATCCATGCTCTCTGGGGCAAGCGTGCTGGGCCCAGGGACAGGGACATTCCGTTCCTTGGGCACATGGGCCTGCCAGAACTTCCTTCCTCCCCAGAGGACAGGCCCAGTCCAGGGGAGAACAAGAATCCCCTTTCCAATAATAATAGGCACAGGAAAGGTCCCTCAACCCTTAGAACTTATGACAAAATCAAGCCCTTCTGTACAACTAGGAGAGGAGGTGCCAATCCTTCTCATTTCTATTGGGTATAAGATGCTGACAGAGTCTGCCAGGCACAAGGATCAGCCTTGGTGGAGCAAGGGGAAACATCTGGCCCTGACCAGAAGAGCTTGCAGTTCAAGTGCTTTACCACAGGGCTACACCCCCAGCCCTGAGGTCACAGTTCAGTGAGAGATGTCCATGTCTCATCCCCATTTGTCAAAAGCCTTCTTTTAGTATCCGACACCCCAAGATGCATGGTTCCAGAAGAAACCCACGCAGTCACACTGCCTAGCCCTTGTTCCCACTCTCATGGCACTGATAGGAAAACAAAGCCCATGGAGATCTGCCTGGCTGGGTTAAGGTAATTAACCTTGTTCATTAATAACACAAGTGCCTTCTTCCCTAGGTTTGCTAAACAGGGCCCCTAGTTATGTGAGATAGGCCTCTCAGACCCTTCTAAGTTGCAGCCTCTTCCTGATGATGCTAAAAAGCCATCGTTCAGTTTGTTCAGTCTTTACTGAGCTGTGTAGCCAGCACTGAGAATGCAGCAATGAGCAAGCCCTCAGAGAAAGTCCCTGCCTGTGTGGAACGTGCTACACGGACAGGCATCCACTCATCATTACTCAGTAACTGTTTAGTAAGTAGTCACTATGATCCAGAGACTGTGCCAGGCACTGAGGACCCAGGCAAAGGGCCCGAGGTGGAGGAGGTTATGTCTGGGGAAATAACCAAGATCAGTACAAGTCGTGAGTATTGTAATGAAGGACAGGTGAGTGTGTGGGGTCCACTTCACAGAGGATAATTAGGGGATGTCTGTCCCTAAAGGTGAGACTTAGGGGATGGGGATTTTAGCTTGGGGAGAAGAGTGTTCCGGGTAGGGAGGATGGCCCCGGGAAGGCCTAGATTTACTTCAGAGACAGAAAGAGAACTGGGTGGGTACCACACAGCAAAGGAAGAAGAAGAGGTATGGAGCAGAGGGCACCAGTCCAGGCTGCCTGTGGCGAGGAGCTTACATCTATATTCCTGGACCTTTTAAATTTTGAGGCAGTCTTGCTAAGTCGTGAAGTTATCGAGGCTTGGCTTGAATTTGTGAACCTCTCGCCTCGGCCTCCCAGAGTTCTGGGATTTGGGGTTTGCAGCACCACACCTAGCCAGGTTTCTCTTTAAGGGACAAGTGCAGCTCCCGTGCAGAGTGGAGAGCCCTCGGGGAAGCCCAGAGGCCTGTTATGCGGTGTTGATAGAAGTAGTCTAGTTGAGACGCTGTGGCCGAGGTGGTGGCAGTAGAAACAGAAGAAGGAAGATTCCAAATGTAGTCAGAGGAAGAATTGACCAGGCCCAGTAATGGGCTGGGAAGCGGGAGTGAGGAAAAGGCAGGAATCCAGGATGACTTCTACATCACCACGCACCCCTTGGGTAGACAGCAAAGAAGAACACACGATTGGTGTCTTCGAACGGCAGCAGATGACATGAAGGAGAACGGTCCAGGTCTTTGGCAGTGGGACCCGGCCTCCACTGAGGGCCCGGATGTGCCATGTGGGAGGCCGGAGGCAAAATGGGAGCTGCAGCCTCTCTTCACTCAGCTCTCTGCTCAGTCAGGAGAGCACACAAATGTGTGCTGTGGGAGACTGTGGGAATGTGGCCCAACTGCATTTATCTGAACTATTGCAGAAAGGAAAACAGAAACTACCCACCAAGGGACATGTTTACAACAGATTTACTGCTTTACATACACCTGTGCCAGGGGATGTTTTCTTGGTTTCGTTTAGCCAATCAGAGTATCTTATAAATATATTCTTCCTTGGCTCCTCTCAGCACAGCCCATTTTGTAGCCTCACAGCCCTCAGGAGTGGGGGGCTCCCTGACGGGCTGGGCTCCGGAAGTCAGACCTCAGGCTCTGCTGCCAGGGGCCCCGGCTGCGGGACGTGCAAAAGGTGCCCCTGAAGTAGACGTTAATGGTGTTCTGCCTCTCTCAGATTTGGGTATTCGGATTCCAGTGGGACACGTGGACTACTTCATCAATGGAGGCCAAGACCAGCCGGGCTGTCCCCTGTTCATTCATGCAGGTCAGAAAGCCAGAGGGTGTTCGCCTGCCCCACAGACTGGAATTCACCAGTAGCCGGCTTATTGCATCAGCCAGTGTGGCTGCAGAGGGTCTTCCCAACAACACCCCTGCTGGTCCTGTAACGCCTGGCTCAGAATTTCCTACCTCTGAGCCTGTGCGTTTCAGAGAACACCCAATAGTGGCTGCCTGTGTCCTCTCTGTGCTGCCCTTCCCGCTTGCCTTTGGTCTTGCTATAGTTGCACATCACTCAAGCCACAGACCTGTCTTTTGCTGGGCCTGTCTTTTGCACAGCCCACACAAGCAGCATCCTCTACAAAGCACAGTGGTGGCAGAAGCAAGCCAGTGGGCTGCACACTAGCTAATCAGAGGCTCAGCCCACTGCATGACCATGCCACTGAACTCACTAAACCTATCAGGTCCTTCTTACAAGTGTCTTCAAGATAACCTTCTTAAATGCATATATCTTCTCAGTATATTCTTCTGGGAAGTTTTGTTTTAATATATTCATCATATGAATGGATAAAGAAGATATGGTTTTAAAAAATACAGTGGAGGAATACTACTCTGCCATAAAGAAGAATAAGCTGGACACATTTCTAGCTAAATGGATGCATCTTGAGGCCATACTCTTAAGTGAAATAAATTGGACACACTTGTTTAAATACCGAATTGTTTCTCTGGTGTGAGAAACTGAAAGTGTAAGTAAGGACAAAAATGTATCACAGATATTAGAAAATGGGAAGAAAATGTTCAAATAGATGGGGTTATAGGGAAGGGTGAGTAAGAAAGGAAGGAGGGGGCGATAAAAAATAGAAAGCAAGCTTTTATAAATAAGGACGGCAGAGGGGTGGAAGCAGGGAGAGAAGAATGGGAAAAAGCAGAGAAGCAAGATATATCCTGTACAGGCACAGACTCCCTATGACGAATGTGATCAGTCTGTATCTCTAAAATGAACCAATAAAAAAGAAAAAATGCATTCATCATAACATTCTTTTAAATCATCTTAAATTTGTCAAAAATAACCATTAAAACATGTTCAGCCTTCTTATATTTTATGACCATAGACAGTACATCTACATTTCGTATAGAAAAGTTTAAATGCAGATTTCTATTTAGTATGTTTTTAGTGTTTTCCTGCTTTGCCAAATTCTTACTATTTTAAGGAGTATTTCGATAATTTATTCAATCACCCCTGGTGTATGTTATCAAATTTGCTAGTTTTCCATATATATGCTTCTTTTAACAATTGAAGAAAACGTTCAGCCACTCCGATCAGGAGGGACGGTTTGATCTCAGTGGCTATGGGACATGCACGTGGCATACTGCCCTTGACCACTTTTCATACCTTCTTCATAACCTAATTTGAAGTGGGTGTATTTTGTCTCCGCCTCAGTTTCCTCATGGTGCTGGAAGGAGCTCAGTTGTAGAGAGCACCCTAGCCAAGGGGGAAAGAAGTCCACACTCAGCTCAGCCTCTGTTGCCAGTCTGAGAGAGAGGCTCCCATGGTGCTGAGAGCATCTGAAGACCCCAGCACCCCAGTTACAACTAACTCCTTACCTCCCAGCCCCAGCCTGTCTACCACGTGTGGGTCACTGAGCACTTTTAAGTAGTGAACAACAGCAGGACCACATAGTAGGGACATTAGGGTGTTTGGTAAATCATCAGTTATCTGCAGGCAAAGAACTCATTCCTGGGTGGGGAGTAACGAGGCAGCAAAATGATTGGTTGTGTGGGTGATGAAGTTAAAAACATGCAGGCAGAAAACCATTTCCAGAAATGGAGACCACATCCCCAGCTCCCCCAGTTCCCTGTGCGATCCCATTCTGTGATGCAAAGTTTGCATGGTCACACAGAAGAGATCTCAAGTCAAGTAAATTTCCTGTCCCAGGAACAGTCAAAGGGAAGGGGAGAATACAGCAACCATGTCTGTTAATATTTTTAAAACTTGGCTTTGGGGACATCCAGTGTATTTATAGCCTTCTAGGATATAAAATTCAGCAGTTACAGTAAATAGCAGGAGGGAGTTTCCATCGGTCTTGACTGAAACCTTGGTTGTGGTTTTCTTCCCCTGCTCAGGTTACAGCTATCTGATCTGTGATCACATGAGAGCTGTCCACCTCTACATCAGCGCCCTGGAAAACTCCTGTCCCTTGATGGCCTTTCCCTGTGCCAATTACAGGGCCTTCCTGGCCGGACACTGCCTGGATTGTTTAAACCCTTTTTTGCTTTCCTGTCCAAGGATAGGGGAGATGTAACCCCTTTGGCTCCTTTGGATAATTTGGAGGAAGTTCAAGTCGTGACAGTTGTCACCTCTTTATGTCCTGGTCTCATATGGTCAAGAGGCCCATTCACAAGGGAAAAGAAAACACTGATGAGGCTTCAGCCTGCTTTCACTGGGAGATGACAGTAGCCATCCCTTTCCCAGCCCTCCCCTCCCTCTAAACTGTTCTCTGTGGCTGCCTTTGCTTTGATCTGCACCCTTCCCACTTCAGCCTCTCTCCTAGAAGTCAGCCCCAGGCGCTCTCTAGAAACACTGGGAAATTCCAGTACCCACGCCTACCCTTGGCTGACATGTGTCCAAGGGTCCTGCTAGCTGGGCCCTCGTTGCCCATCTCAGCTATGTCATGGGGGCTCCCCTAAGGGGCACACCAGCCCACTCTAGAGGTGTGTGCTCACGGAGGCCATACGCAGGTTGGGTGGGGAGCAGCTGAATGCTAGGTGGCTTGGGCACATTCCTGGGAATGTGCTCATTCCTGATCTGGGAAGGCTGAGGGATCTGGCCTCTAACTCACTGGTGCAGATCGTTGCTTTGAATATTCTAGGGTGAAAAACTCCAAGCCCGTAATGAGCAGACAGTTTAGATGCCTGTAGAAGAGAGGGCGCTGAGTTAATCAGCAGGTGGCTGGGTGCTATGGGGCCCTGAACAGGCCTCCTCAGTCCTCTGCCATCTTTGCTTCTTTATTTCCAGGGCTGGTGGAACAAGGTGGTGTCAAGATAGAGCCGCTTCCCAGGGAAGTCAGAGTCTACCTGCAGACCACTCCCAAGGCCCCGTACTGTGGTGAGTCGGGCTGTGTGTGAGCTCAGTCCCGCCACTTGCTGGCTAGAAGAGTCTAGGGCCGGGCTTGAGCAGCCCAGTGAGGGAGCCCACGTGGGGGGTGAAGTCCTGAGGCAAAGAGAGCCTGAGAGGTGGGGAACAGCTCCTGTTCTCAGACATCTGCGGAACTGTGCTTGAGTCCAATCCATGCCTCTGCTGATGAGGACCCGGGGACATCTTGGGGCTCCTCCTACAGTGGTATTCTGGGGTACTTTAGCTCTCTTCTTCCTGCACACCTCTTTGCCCCTTCTCTGTGACTACACACGTTTCTCACCCCCAAAGGATCTGGCCTCTAACTCACCAGTGCAGATAGTTGCTTTGAATGTTCTAGGGTAAAAAACTCCAAGAAAAGCACTCCCAGGTGGTGAAAGTGGCTGCCCTGGCCGGGGTCGCGGAGGGGTGCCCTCCCTCCCCTTCTCAGACAGACTCCAGCCATTCGCTGCGGCCCCCACTGCGTCTTTCTGAAGCTAAGATCTCAGGGATTGTAAAAGATGTAAAATGTGAAAGCAAAGTCTGTCACAGAGTCCGTGAGGCACAGCGGGAGTAGGGATACCCTCTCCTCCAAGCTGTCTGCGTCCTGACCAAGGCGCATAGTGGTTGTACTTCCTGCTTCATGTCTGGCCCTGACCCCTCCTGTCTGCTGTGCGGCATGTACGGGAATGCCACATTTCGGCCACCCTAATTTTAGCCGATTTTCTGACCAGCTTGTGTCAGGAGTGTGGAGGGGTCTTTGTGGCTATGTCTGCCTGTCACTGGAAGGCCAGGTACAACACGATATGAAGCCCAGAACTGCGATTCTTGTCTTGCAGACGGGGATTTGAACATCTGCTTCTCTACTTACCAGCTGTGCAATCAGGAATGAGTTAAACTTTTTTGTGACAAATGGGAACAATAACAGGACTTAGAAGAATCTGCAGTGAGGATAAAATAGTGTCCAGGCAGTCTCTGGCCCAGAGACAGCTGAATCAGTAGGCTCCCTTCCCGTGGTCAATCAGGCTGTTTAGAAAAGGTAGGGGTGCTCATGCCTTCATGCAAGAGGGAACTTGAGGCTACCCTGGGGGACAGAGTGGGCGTGGGTCAGCTGAGGCCTATTCTCACACCAGCTCAGTGGACAGCCAAGCTTGGAAAGGAAGGAAGGGTGGGGACAGGCCAGCTCTGAGGGACCGAGTGATGGGTCCAGGGTCACTGCTGAGTGGGAAACTCAAGAGTTCACCCCAGGCTCCTGACTGCAACACCCATGCTCTTCCCGTGGGGCCGCCTGCCTCCACCCTTGCTTTTCTGCTCCCTCTTTTGTTTTTATTTATTTATTTACTTATTTTCCAAGTGCTGGGAATTGAGCCCAGTGGCTCTGTTCTGACCTACATCTCCTTTTTTATTTTGCATTTTGAGACACTATATCACTGAGTTGCCCAGGCTGGGCTCAAAGTTGGGTTCCTCCTGCTTCAGCCTCCCAGCATTCTGGGATTACAGGCATGCACCACCATACTTGGCCCTGCTCCCTCTTTCCTAACCTGTTGCCCACTGCCCTGCCAGTGCCACCTGTCTGAGGCCAGCACCGGGAGGATGTGGTGTCTGGTGGTAGAGGTGGCACCATGGAACTGACATCCTGGCTTCTCAGGCAGCAACCTGAGCTGGCTCCTCCTTGTCCACTCTGGGCAGGACAGCATGGTCATGCTGAGAGGGTCAAAGCATTCTGAGGTCTCTGTGGGGGGAGTCACCGACCCGTGATTTTTCTGTTTCGTGCTTGTGTGAGGTCTCTTCTCTGAACCCCAGAAACATGGTCCTGCTGGCTCAGAAACCTCAGCGCCAGGGAAGAGTTGCTTGCCAGGTTCCATAGCCTTCCATTCTGGGGCACCAGCTGGCTCCCCTCCTGGGACCACGTCTAGGTCACCTGCCTGGGTGCACTCGGGTGGGCAGACCTGAGCGGCGGCTTGTGCTCTCCTGCTACTCCAGGCCACTGTGGCTCTGGACTCTCAGCCTGTGTTGACCTTGGCAGTGCTCACAAGAACAGTGGTCACCCTTGATTTCTGCCAGCCATGGGCCAGATCCTCCACCAAAGAAGACTTTTTACACAATATTGCTTTTGCCTTGTAGAATAGTTGTCCATACAGTGTCTTGTCTCCATTACCCCAAGGCGATGTTGGGGGTTACCGCTCACACTCCAAGGAGCTGGGGCACACAGAGGTGTGGTGACTTCGGTGAGGAGGCACAGCTTGGGGCACAGGTCTCCCCTGGCTGCAGGCCTCCCCGACTGACTGCCCAGGGCTCTACCTGAACCACGCTCCCGTGCAGGCTTGATTTCAGTTCCCATTACACCGTGCCAGGCCTAGCTCTCCCAGGGTCTCCAGGGCAACGTAGAGCAAAGAGAAGCAAAAACTTAGGAAAAGTTCTTGATCGATCCTACCTTTTAGCAAAGAAAAATATGACATCAAGTCAGCCCAGAGACTGAAATGCCTAAAGCCTTTTGAAGTCGGTCATTTTTTCCGCTTTACAAATATCCATCCCAATTCAGACTTTGCCCAGCGCATAACAGTTGATATCCCATAGTAAGCAGCTGGTTGCGGGGGGGTCTACAAGGATCCCTTTTCTTCTCATGAGTCCTGGGCATCTTGGCCGCTGTCGGGGAGCCATGTTACTAACCCTAGCGAGTCCAGATGGACCACAACTCCCACCTAGCTTAGTGTGGAGTCCCCCCACACCCACGATGTCACCCAGGGAGTATAACCAGTGACACAGTACAGACAGGGACGCAGTGGAGGACTGCATCTCTAGCTATGCCCCCATCCCTGAAGGAGCCTGGGAAGTGTTCTGAGACCAAAACTACTGCCAAAAGCCGCCAGACATGTTCACCCCTTGTTGTTAGGGAAGGTGCCCTCCCCTTTCTGTCTGTACCAGAGATTGAACCCAGGGCCTTCACACTGAGCTACATCCCCAGCCCATTTGATTTTTTTGAAAATCTCACTAAGTCACTAAGTTGCCCAGGCTGGCTTTGAACTTGCGATCCTCCTGCCTCAGCCTCCCACAGTGCTGGGATTATAGGCGTACACCACCATACCCAGCTTTCTTCACCTCTCTAGCCAGAGGGACAGCAGGCCCTGGAGGAGCCACAATGAGCCAAGCTTTTCTCCCCATCAGTGTCGAAACCCACTTTGAGAAGTCCAGCATCACACTGCCTGGGGGAGAGTCCAGAGGCCCATAGGCCATCAGCTACCCCAGGAGGGGACTAGACTTTATGTGCACACAACCCCATCCCCTGACACTGTGTGTGTGGGCAGGAGAGATGGGGCACTGGGGCCTTCTGTGAGTTATTTTGGGTGTGTCTTAGTGTGCTTGTAACAAAATACTGGGTAATACTGAGTAATTTATAAAAAACTGAAATTTATTTTCTTATAGTCACGGAGACTGGGAAGTCCGAGGTGACCGTACTGGCACCTGGTGACTGTGAGGCTGTTCTTTTTGCTTCAGCCTGGCACTCATTACTGTGTCTCTGTGTCTTCACCGGGGCAAAAGGGCAAAAAGGGCTCTAGCTAATTCCAGGGAGCCCTTTTATAAATTACAGTCAACTCATGAAAGCTCTGACTGAGTCACTTTCTTAGTACCGTCCCACGGAGGATGAAGTTTAAACATGACATTTAGGAAGGGAACAAACATTCAAACAATAGCCGTGTACAATGGATCCGTTTTGACTTTTAGAAGATTACATCTCCACGACAAGGTCACCAGACAGAGAAGGGCGAAATGTTCAAGCGTTCCAAGCAGGAAAGCAGCCCCGGACGCTCCCTAGCCGGCACCGTCCTGAGCACCTCATTAGCTGTTTTCATTCCCGGTCTGCCCATACCCTGGGAGGCTGAGGCACAGAGACTGCAGATGAGCTCCTTGGGGTTGGACTCCCGAAACGTAGAGTCAGCATGAGGATTTGGGCTCCCACATCTCTGCCCCGGACCCAGTCTCTGGTGCGTTTTGGTTTCCTAGTGCATCACAGCCTTGTGGAGTTTTCTCTGAAGGAGGCGAGAAAAAAGGACACCAGCATCGAGATCAGCTTTGTTAGCGGCAATGTCACCTCCTCGGTCAAGATCACCATGTACGTAAGTGTCCCATGTGGCTGCCCCCTCCCCTGGGGCTGTCTGCTTGTTTTACACATTCGCATATGTGCAGTATCCCGGACAGCCTGGCCAAGGCATGGTTCCGTGGCTAATGGCAGAACCTGGCTGCCTGGGCTGGGGTGGGGGCGGCTCCCACCCCAGCACGGTCCTCAAACACATAGCAGGGAAGGGTCCTGGGTCTGGGGTCAGTGTTGGGCCCAAGCAGACAAAGCCAGAACGTCTGACGGGTGGGTAGGAAGAATAATCGGGTGCTAGGTAGGGAACAGTGCTCGGGAACCTAGGCAGGGTACATCAGGGATGCCAGCAGGGAGAAGGGCCTCTCACCGACCCTGAGAGGGCTGGCCAGAGCCTGGAGAGCCCCCCTCCCAGGAAGGAAGGACAGAACGGAGTGAAAGGTACAGGCTCAGTCAGCAAATAGGTGAGCCAGAAGGACTGTGTGCTGGGTGCTTCCAGGACCTGGAACTGTGGCTGGCTGCTTCTTTCCCTTGTTGGGGCAGACAGGTCTGGGCCTGACTGGGCCAGGCTCGAAGTGTGAGAGAACAAAGAACCTCAACTGTAAGGAACCACACGCCTGGCGTGGGATTAAAAGTCAATGGCAATGGTGCATGTTTCTTGTAAAAGCAATTGGCTGAAAATGAAAAAAATGGAAACAAAGTCTTTGTAGATGGGGGTGAGGGTAAAGAAAGGGCAGGGAAATGAGGAAAACATAAGAACCAAGATGGATTATGTACAGGTTCAAATTTCCAATGATGAATGTCATTTTATTGTGTACCTTAAATGTATCAATAAAATTAATAATGAAAGGAAATAAATAAAAGCAACTGGCTGAGATACAAGCTAGCAGAAAACAGCCCGATCAGCTAAGGCTACTGTCTCGGACAGGATCTAGTCAGGAAGACAACCTGTGTCAGGTAGGTAGACCGATGGAAGGATAAGTGACAAATGTGCTGGGGGAGCTGAGAAACCAAAGGGAGGTAGAGGTGCGGCTGTGATGCACAGACCCGAATCGGTAGAGGCTCCTGAGGCAGGGCCAGAGACACAGAAAAAGGGGCGACCAGGGAACATCCCTGGAGCTGGATTCACAGGGCAGGCTGCCCAGCAGGAGCTGGAGTTATGCTGGAAAGGCAGCCCCTCCAGGAGCCCTGCCCAATGCAGCTGCCCACCTGTGCAGGCTGCCTGGGATCACACCTCATGGGCACACCCTGGCACAGGAGCCGAGAAATAGGGAAATGACAGGCCGTGCACGTCTCCATCTACACTTGCCAGCAGCAACAAATGCTGTGACACCGAGAGCTGAGCCCCTCTGGGGACGTGATGAGTAGAGACGGGAGCAACGCAGGTCAAAGGCTCTCGTGTGTGACACGCTGTGTGGAGAGCCAGGCTGGGATCTGGGTGACAAGAGGCTGGAGAGGCCTGGCGAGCCGGGAAGGACAGGTTGGGATTAGGGCTTTTGTCCTGTAAGCAGTTTTGGAGAGTCGCTGCAAGTTTCAAACAGAATGATCAGGTCTGCTTTGAGTTTGGAAACACTTCTCAGGGCCATGTTGTGCCTGACCTACACTGTGAGAGAAAACAGGTGCCCTTCTTCTGGGCTCCCAGACTCCCAGGGTTCCCCCAGAGTTACCCAAAATCGCACTGCCAGGTACAGCAGTTAAGACTCCTGCTCAGATCTGCAGGTGCCTGCTTTCGGATTACCACAGGGAATCAGTGACTCAGCACTTCTCCTTAGACCCGGTCAAGGTTACGTTCCTTCTGGTGGGGTGTTTCCCTCATCTCCTCACCACTGGTGGAACAGTGGACACTGGTGGGAGTTGTGACAGTGACACACAGCCCTGGCTGCATGTTCGAATCACCCAGAGAGCTATACAGATACTGACACCAAGCTCCCAGCCCAGAATAACTGCAGAGGAGTCCCTGAGCAATCCTAGTGGACACCCACAGATGACTGCCACGCTCCCTCAGAGGCAGGTCCATGACTCGAAGAAGCCACCCGCATACTTAGCTTTTACTTTCAATGTCTTGACTTTTTTGATCTCGAAGATCAGAAATTGGGGATGGGGTGCTGGGGACAAAATGTGGTATTTCTTCCACTTTCTGTAGCTTTGTAAAACCCTAACATTTTCTTTCTTTTTTCTTTGTTCTTGGGACAGGGTCTCACTATGTAGCTGGCCTTGAACTCACAATGGTTTTCCCACCTCAGCCTTCTGAATGCTGGGATTACAGACATGCATCACCACACACGGCAACATTTCCTTCTAATTGGAAATGTTACCTAGGCTAAATCCCCAAGCCATTCCTATGAAGCATCTTTGATATTCTTTATATTTTATAAGCTCCTCTGAGCAGTTTCTTAAAGAAATCAATCTTATTTTTTTCTCTGACATATTTCCGAACACTTCTAGGCTGGAGGGGAACACCTTTTAAGTAGTTATGTAAGATCTCCCCACCAAGGAAAAAATAAACTACACACCTAACACCAAAGGACGGGTCATCACTCTGCGAAGGCCAGAAAGGAAAGCGAACCCAGGCTGTTGAGGAGGGCCTCCCTTCCTGCTGAGAGGCCGTAGCTCTCTCCTCCTCGCTCACTAACTCAGAGCCCAGGGAGAAATAGGAAGGGGCTGCATCAGTGGACAGACCAGGGCCCAAGGGAAGCTCTTCCTCCTGTTCAGTGCAGCCTGTCCTCAGCTGGGTGAGTGTCCAAGCGGGGCTGTTTCTTCACACGTGGGCCTCGCCATTTCTCCCCTGTGTGAGCCCCAGCCTGCCCACCCCCCTTTCTTAAATGAGGCTGATCTCTCCATACTTCTCCCCCTTCTGGGCCTCACTTTGATCTTGGTCTCCTGCTTCATCCTTGGGTCATTCTACAATGGGACCTGAGTCTTACCGAAACTTCTATAATGGGACACTGAGGCCAAGGTCAAGAGCCTGGGCAAGGGAGACCTGGTTTCCATTTTCACTTTGAGCTCCTTGGGCTGAAGTCCACAGGAACCAAACTCCCTATGGTCCAGGATCAAGGCTATACCAGCATGTGGGGAAGCTGACACTTACATACACTGTACAGCTCTGTGACTCTGGCCGCACTAAGTTGGAGGCCTTACTCAAAGCCACACAGCTGGGAGAAGACCAAAGCTGGGTTACATCCTGGCTGTCAGGCTTCAAGATTTATTTTGTTGTTATTGTTTTTCCCTCGAACACTTTCATACCTACCCTAAACCAGACTGGCCCCCCCTTTAAATTCTTTGAACTGAAGGGCCCTAAAAAGAGCTTCTATTTCCAGAAACTTGGACCTGAAAGTGAAGATGTCCTTCACCTAGGAATGCAAGAGGGAAGGTCATCTTTTCTAGATCTGAAATTGAAGAGGTTTTTTGTTTGTTTGTTTGTTTGTTTTTTCTTCAGTGTCCACTTGTTTACTCTCAAAAATAAAAGAATTTTTCTTGGGTTATGTTCAAAACTGGTGCATGTGCTCGGTGGGATGAATGAGGGTGATAGAAGGCACCATGGTCCTCCCCTTCAAGGAGCCAGCCCCCTGAAGGTACATGGTAGCCAGCCAGTGCTGCCAGCGAAGCCTGGCCAAATCCAAAGGAAAGGAAAGCGAAACAAAACAGAAAATGCCACCAACTTTCCTTTTTGCTTTTCTTTTCCCTTTCCCTTCAGAACTAGACAACAACTCCAGGGAAAGGGAATCATAGCCCACCCCAGCCCTCCATGCCAGATAAACCAAGTGGAGTTCAAGCTTCAGGCTTCCAGTCGCGTTTGGAAAAAACACAGGACTACCATTGTTGGGAAGTTCTGTACAGCCCCTCTGCCTGTCAACGACAGGTAAGCCCCAACGTGCAGCTCCCCCCACCCCCTGACACACACACACACACACACA